ATGGATAGAGTATCATTCAAAGATGGTTGGTATTGAATTTGGTGAGAATCGATGAAAAGGTTCATTTTTTATAAAATTTTTAATTTTTTGAGAAATGTCTGTATACATTGTAACTTTCGCAAATTTTGAGATATCAGGTTAAATTTTTTTAGATGGATAAAATATTATTAAAGGATAGTTACTACTGAATTTGGTGAGTATCGATGAAAGGGTTTATTTTTTAAAAAATTTTGAATTTTTTGAGAAATGTCTGTACACCCTGTAACTTTCAGAAAATATGAGATATCGGATTAAATCTTTTAACATGAATAGAGTATTATTAAAGGATGTTTGATATTGAATTTAGTGAGGATCGGTGAAAGAAATCATTTTAATTTTTATTTCGCCCACAAAGCTTCCTCTATGAGGAAGCAGAAATTGAAAAATCCGCATGCTTAAAGCAGCTTAAGCTTTGTAAGATAAAATGATGAGGAAGCAATGTGCAAGTTTCTAATTTGCACAAATCTACTTGTTTTGGTATTTTTATTGTAGCATATTAATAATTTGTTGATTTAAATATTTGATATTTATATTATTAATATAAGATAATACATTAAATGATATCTTATCTTATTTCTTGTTTCAAAAACGCGCGCGATTTCACCGATGATTCCAATTTTAAGAAAGAATTCCAGAAATAAGACGATCGTTATTTCACTCTCTAAAGCATGAGATTCCGATCATTAGTGAGAGTAAAAGTGAGAATGCTGATGCGGAATGCAGAGAGCGCATGCGATGAGAAATGAAGGGGGACCACAGGGAATAAGATGAAGAACATACGCGCGCGAGTTCCTCTCCTTGCATAAGAAATTCATTTTTGATCAAATCACACGTAAAAATACAAAAAAAAATATAATAGTAAATAAGAATAAAATGTAGATTGAAAAGATAATGGTCAAACTAGATTTCAATTTGTTTAGTTTTAATTATTTATAATTAGTAATAAATCACGTTTTTATTTATAGTTATATGGCACACTGACATTGAGACTTTATATAACATATAGCATAATATATTTCGCTGTCACAAATATTTTTCACAAGTTTTCAACTTCTGTTTTGACAGAGATTCTTTACAATAATTTGTCATTATTTCTTAAGAATGTTATTACGTGATTTTTGCTCATTGAGAATTAAATATCGAAGACTCGAATATAAATCCTCTCTGACGTAAAAGGATATGCGCGTGAAAACCGGCATTCACGATCATAAATTAAGACTGTCCCTTTTTCTTTTTTATATGCAAACGTTATATTACATTTCGCCGCCGTTCACTGCTTCTGCGGCCGAGAGGTGATCGCGTTGCGTGAAATTCGCCTGGAACATTGCAGCAAACCGATGCCGAATGATCGCGTTACATTCTCCCTTCTTACTTAATTACGGATGATGTTTCGTTCGTAAAACGGACAGCGCACCTTTAATGCGTATTATTATGTAGATTTCACGTGATCCAATTTTTCAATCCGATACGCCGTCAGGAAGATAATGACTTCATAGCATACTTTTAGAAATACGAACAAGGTCTGTGATATAAATTAAATTATATGCAAACTGATTCATGTGTGCCTTGTTTGAACGCTTTCTTTCGCTTTCACTATGATATATTGTTAAAAAGTTTTACTATCTTGATATATTCATAATGTTGCAAAATTATTGTTACTCTTTTCACTTACGGATTTTTTTAACAATGAAAAAATAAAATACGGAATATATAACTTATGTAATATGTTATTAATCACACATAAATCATTGCAAAATGATATAAACTTAAAAAATTAATTAAGCATTAAATATAAAAATAGAGATGATAAGAACTTTCTTTTTAATTATCTCACTTTAATAGAATTTTAATGTAATTATTGAATGTAATTGTCTAAAAATTTAATTCTGAAAATTTGAAATGTATGAAATGATGTTCACAAATTATTTCTCGTTAAAAAGCATTAACATCAACAAATGTTATTTTAGACTAATTAGATTAATCAATGAACATGTTTCACCTCTTCTCATAAATCATTTAAAATCACAAATTTTTAAAGCGGGTTACTAGATACACTGGAAATTAACGTGGAAGTTTTTTTGTTCTTACTAAATGCCGTAACTGACGTGATTAATTCGCAGAGCAAACCTTTCGATTATATAACGTGACTTTCTTTCACAAAAAAGAGATAGTTATTAATTACAATATTGCGTTGTGCTAAATAATGATACAATTTATCGATATCGGAATTCCAAAATCGATAATGTCGATAAAAAAAGCACAATGCAGTAAACTATATCATTATTTAGCCCAGCGCAATATTGTAAGCGTTATCTCGATAGCATCTGCACGATTTTATTCGATAATATCTTTTCTCTCTTTCTTTTACTTATGATATATTTTATTTTTTGATTATTCTATATATAATTTAAAAAAAATGGAGGTGTGCCTTGTTGATTTATGCAACGTAAAAATGATTTAACTAATTATACCTTATAATCGTATTACGAATTATGTACAAATATTTATAATTAAATTATATATTAAATATTATACAACATAGCTTAGACATACAAAAAAATTAAAATTTTGGGAATATTGAACATTATAGATTAACACAGATAAATTTTTAAAAGAAAAACGATTGGTAATATACAGTTCGATTTATATCTACACGGAAAAAGAAATGCTGTTGCTTCAATTAAAGTCTACGTCACGGGCTGCCACAGACATACATAGTTCATTCAATGATATTTTTATTAGACCAAATATCTGGATTATTAAAACAACTATCCAGATATTTGGTCTAATAAAAATATCATTGAATGAACTATGTATGTCTGTGGCAGCCCGTGACGTAGACTTTAATTGAAGCAACATCATTTTTTTCTCTGTGTATACAAAGGATTGAGTGTCTTGTCTATGAGTGTCTAATGCTCGTGCGTTATTACTCAATTGTGCAATTCAGATGTTTTCTAGAATGTTAGAAAACGCCAAGTGACCTCGACTTGTCCAACGGTAATTTCCGCGCATTATCTTGCTCATACTTTTTATCGAACATTTCTGTTTTATTTCAACTGTTAAGTGACATTGCAATGATAAACATCAATTATATCGTACATGCTAATATATACACTGACGGAAAATGAAATCCCAACACCAAGAAGGAGTTATGCCCATGTTAAATAAATAAATAATATATATAATTTAAAAAAATTTGTTTAATGTAATAAAAGTAAATACTTATGTAAACAAACATTCTGTTTAATTTTCATTCACTTAGCATAACTCCTTCTTGGTGTTGGGATTTCATTTTCCGTCAGTATATTACAGACTATATTGCTAATAACGATTTTTTAATCTTGTTTGCGTTTTCTTATCGTCGCGTTATTTATAATAGCTTTAATATATTGTTTTAAAAAAATTAAGATTGCAATTACATTATTTATCCTTCATTTTTTATAATCGATAATTAATAGTGCATCATCTCTTTACGATTCCTAATTTTATTTCCGACCAATTATTTCCGTCTATAACGCGTGCGAAACGGCTGCTCATTTTTCTCAATCACGGAAACAAAACAAAAAAGCTTCTCGCGTTGTTGCCTCAAAGCCTTCGCAATAATGTTACAGTTTTATCTTACAAAGCTCACACGTTTATTAACTTCCAAGAACACGCCCGATAATTAGCGAAATGACGACAAACATTGTCTTCACACAATACATCTGCTCGGATTCGCGCCGTCGTTTTAAGTCCCGTTTTTATTTACATAAGCATTGCGTTATCAATTACATCGCTCCTCATACATAATCTATGCGCTACACAATGACGGTGTAACACCTGGTCGACCGTTTCGATAGTATGCTAATAAGCCGAAATCTTCGATTGCGTGGTGAAATCATAAAGAACATGCGATTCAATGAGTCGATTCATGATTACGATAAATGTCAGATTGGCAAAGTTCCAATGAAAGCTGTTGCGTATAATTTTTTGTATGTAACTTCATCATATATAAACGTATACAGATACGGATAATAACGAGACGAATGCTCTCTGTAAAGTTCTAAAATAGGTAATAAACAATTGATAGTATTTGCATTTAATTTAATGTTCAATAAATTGAGACGAATCGTTACTAAGATTAGCACGTTTTGCTGATTATGTGCGCATTACACAAATCAATTTTCAGATCTCTTACGTGAAAGAGGAAATGATCAAGCAAGTTTTAGTTGATTGCCTAATTCTATTATATGGCTTTTATAACATTACGTTTATATTTCTTTTTAATTTTATTAAATGGAGCGAAGGTGTAGATATAGATGTCAAATAAAATCTTCTACAATGATATAAAAAAGGGGATATTATTTCCTCTTTGCGTACGAAATAATTTACTCGTGATTTTGTTAATTATATTCGACATATAATTATTTAAAAATGTAATAATCATCCGTTTATTTTCTTTTTGGATTTCTTAATAGTCGTATTAGTTTACTAAATGTTTACTTTATTAAATGTATATTAAAATGCACTGCAATTTTTCATACGTAAAAATCGTTTTTTTTTTAATAAATTTGTTATATAAAAGTAAGCATCATGTTTACCACAATACAAGAAAAGAAAGATACAATACTTTTGAAACAACACGCTAATTTTAGCAGCGTGCATGACATACTATCGATATAACAGCGAAATATCCTTTTTTCTCATAAACTGAAATAAGTCCATTGTCCACGTAATAAGCAACAAATATCTCACGTACATATACATGAACTCTACTTTGCATTGCCTTACATTTTGTATACGCGAATTCTTAGCGCGGGAATGCCTCGCACGGTATTTTCCATTTTAGGTTTGATCGTTCTCTTCGGCTTTGGTATAATACATAGTGATACGACATGCCGATTACAAAACGTCCTACGACCGAAATCATTTCACTTCCGGTTAATTCCTCGGGTCGCGAATTCTCGAACACGCACAAATTTTAAAGCCGGACTGGGCCTCGTTAATTTAATTGGCAGACTGGCGATTTGTTTGACTGTCATAGAATCCTGCGAGTTTCTCTCGTATAACTTTACGAATTGCAATAATAAGTTAGAAATAAATTAAGTTTAATTCAAATTCTTAAAAATGATTTTTCGTATATTTAATTTAATAATATAATAAATTGTTATACATTATAATAAAAAAATCTTTATTTAAATGAATTCCAAAGATTCAAGGATAAATTCCACGATTTCTCTCTCTCTCTCTTACATATAATTTTTAACTTGATTGAATATTTATGTATATTTATCTATTTAATTTATGTAGGAATTATGGATTTGCGTGATTCTCTGTATTTCGCAATCTTCTCCTTAAAAATGGAGTTTTTTGATCTTATATTCTTCTGCTTCTTAGATACAAATATTTTTATTCTGTAGACAGCCAAAAGTGATAATATTATATATTCCTTTCTAGGGAGAATGGACGTCACAATTGACACATGAGATATGTATACTTTTTTCAAACATTGACATTTAAACTCAGAAAAATTATATTTTTATGAACATTTTATTTGCTATTAATTCCGGAATGCTCGAAACATGGCCAGTTTGCGATGACATAATATTTTTTATACATCAATTACGTTTATTGTTCGCTACATTTCTGTTTGCACGACACACGTCACATCTCATCGTCGTTAAACGTCGCACTTATTTTTGTCGGCATGTTATCGAGTGCGCAAGCAATATAAATTAACGAGAGATTTCACATTGCTTTTATTACGTCCGCGCCTCGGTAAGTCGTGCCTTAATTGAAGCAATGTCGGATTCGATATCGATCTTTCGTTAAATTATAAGCAGACTTGATCATCGAACACGTACTTGCATTGCATTCTCTGCGAAATACAATTAATCGTGTAAATGTAACTGTAATTCTTCGGATGCCATTTGTTTATCTTCTTATTTATCGCGCGATTAGAGATGCGTATTCTTTGGAAAAAAATTATACCGCGCGAAAAATGTATATACATTATTTTTTATACTTTTCAAGAAACTGTCTTATTATTCGCGTGAAAATCGAAGATCTGGAAGATGATATCTGTAGATGACGAAGATAATATCTGCATCCACTTGCGATGTGTCAAGTTAATCATTTCGCAAATTGTCGACTTCCGGCGTTTCCTTTCTCGAAATGCCGCGCAAAGTCGTGCGAAATCTTTTTCAACTAATGGCCCTCTTCTGGATCGTTTCGTAATCCTGAGACAGGACAGGTTCCTCCTTCTTTCGGCGCGATTCGTTAATTCCGCATTTCACAGAGCGTAATTACAGCTGCAACTCGTCGTCCCCTTCTCGATCTCGTTCCGACGCTCACGCAGCATGTGTGTATTTTATCTTTTTTTTATTTATTTACTTAATCAGACTATTAATACAAACTTTCCCTGCAATAAATTCGAACAGCAGCAAGAGCGAGAAAGACGGAAAACAAGGATGTGCGTGTGAAGAGAGAGAGATGGAGAGTAAGAATGCAAAAGCGGAAGAGAATAGGCAGTTGTTTTGTTGCATTGTGTATATATGGGGCGTTACACGATTTATCGCATAGGTACCCGCGTAAGTGTTTGCCATGCGAAGTATTTCGCCGTGTCCGCAGGCCGATCGTTTTCCATTCGCGCTGCTTGGGGAACGACACTTTTCCGTAACGAGAAGTGGAAATGAGAGTTTATGTAACTCGTATTGCGGCGCAATCGCTGTCATTAGAATAAATTATAGATCTATTGTTTAGCGAGTGTGTCCTTTCTTTCGACAATTTTAATTTCGAACGTGGCGATGCTATTATATGTCACGTTTTTTATATCTTGCATCGATGGAAATTTTAAGTTACTGATTTTATATCGATCACATTATAAAAACAATATTAATTTTTTAATGAAACAATACTTTCTCGCCTGTTGTACGCTAAAAATTTCTGCGAAACCGATCTTACGACAAACTCTTTTGTTGTGTAAGATTAGTATATTTTCCTCCTTTGAACAGCTTGGGAAAATGGCTCTTTTCCACGAGCCATAGCGTAACGACAGCTTGCGAAACTTATGCTATCGTCATCGTAGATTTGATGAAGGATAAAATTAGCAAGTCTTTGTCTGTGTAGATATTTGCATTGGGCGTGAATTCATGTATTTTTATCAGTAAAACCAGGCGTTCTCTTGACACAAATAAGCTTCTCTGTTACTAATAACATATTTAATAAGTTTCTTTTAAATTTGTTAATATACCTAAGTCAAGACCATTTTTAATAAGTTTAGAAGGAAAAAATAAATAAGTTTATGACAAAGTTAATTATGCCACCAATGCTTCTGAATGTATGTCGAGAAAATTATTGATTAGCATAATAATTGATTCATATATAAATGTAAACAATGATCGATAAAGAGAAATATTCTGTATCTCGGCAAATGATGAAACTGATATTTCTTAAATCAAAATAAAATTAAGATTAGCAACAAAATTAGGACTCACTTTTGTACGGTATCGTTGTCGTAGCTCGGTCCGTGTCTTGGGGCATCTTGGGGGAATTTGTAGACACCAAGTGAACGTGTTGACTACAACCGGCTCGGTGTAAGTCTCGTATGACGTTACTGTGTAACTGTAATATATGATCAATTAGCTATCAACTAGTCCCGCAATTCCCTTATCGAGTTTACAGCGGTATGCAGCGGCGACAAGGTACGCGCATAATAATGATATGTGGCGTATTACGCATGCCGGCTGCATTGTCAAGGTTTTTAGGTGAAGGTCTTTCTTTGAAAATATGTATATCAAATAGATTCTATAATATTAACAAAAATAAAAATTATTACACCTATATTTAATCGTCGTATTTTGTGGGACACTAACTTTTCTATCCTTGAGCACACGTGATACCCGGTCAACGAGCTGGAAAGAGACACCGTCTCAAACACCATGATCAGAATGAAGATCCACAAAATCTCCGAGAAATTCATTTCAATTACAAGATCTAGAAAATGTACCTTTAAATATTTCTTTTACATAGTTTGTATGAATATATTTTAAGCAATATTTTTATAACATACTTACTACTGTTAGCACGACAAAAGTATTTGAGTTTCGAGTTTCAAATACAATTTTTTCAGAATAACCTACATCGAAAGAACCGTGATAGTCGGTGGCGTTGTTTGAGTAAAAGTGACGCTTTCATCTTCTCGTATATCACTAGTCAGATGGAAGAAAAAACTGTTACCCAATAGAGAGTATCATGTTAAAATGTAAGACACAAGAAAAGGAATACGTAACATAAATTAATCTCTATGCGCATGCAATAAAAAAAAATATATATATATATATATATATAATAATATATACGTATATATAAGAAAAGTTGTTTAACATAAAAATGTGAAAAGCGAACAAGCCATTAATTCTACATGTCATGTGCTTTTTATCGCGTACGAATCGTAAATCTAATCATTTTTCCATCGTTATGTTTTACGCGTTCATATATACGCACGAGTGGTCACTACTTTATCATTTGCTTCCGTTAAACGATCCTCTTTATTCTCA